GCTGCTTCCATCCAAAGTCCTGGCTGTGAGAGCAGGAGTTTATACGGACCTGGCAATCCACAAAGGTTGCAGAAGGTCTTCAGGGTTCAAAATGTCTGTTTGAAGGACTTGTTGTTGGTACTCAAACTCCTGAAGTTATTAAAGAAGATTTCACCAGAGTGGCTAGTGGGAGAGCAAAAGAATACACTCAGGTCTGGTTCTTACACTTCTTTGAACAGGCAGGAATGGACTGTCTGAGAGTACATTCACTGAGGGATTTTCTTTTACCATCGTAGATGAGGATAACATTCCTGAGGAGGAATTCTTGTGCCAGGGAAGTCTTCATTAATCTATTTTTTCCCCGAGGTCAGGAGTTTACCACTTAGACATAACCAGAGGGTAAATCAGCAATCTAGCCTCACAGTCCTTAGTTGACAAAATGTGGAACTTGCACATTTCTCAGGATATGAGACTCCCCGTAACAATAAAGACACTCTGTGTGCCTACCCACATAGCATCTCTCCAGTGTCCCAGGAGAAAGACATTTAATGAATGAACAATTAGTGGAAGTCACATTGTTACAGAAGTCGTCTAGTCTTTGCAAACAGAAGAATCTCATATAGAGATGCCGTGTGACGTGAATCAAAGGAGAGTCACGCCTCACTGAAAAGTAATGGAAGTTGGAATAGAAGAATAAAAAAGACCGGAGGGAAAAGACAAAAAGAGCTTCAAGTGGAAGATGGGGCAGAAAAGAGGTAATGAAGTGAAGATTTTCATGTATGGCCGTAGGCTCACACAGTCTGGAGCAACCTGGTGAAGCTCTTTTCTGAGCCAAGAAACTTAAGAGAAACCAAGAAGCAGGCAATACAGTGTCTTTAACATGCTCAGCACCAATGAAGGAACAAATGGTCTGTGGATATACAGAGAATTTTTTAAAGATGAAAGAACTGGGGTTCATACACTGCCCCCCAGAATGGGCACAGGGATGAACACTCAAAGAATTAGTATTATAGTTGCCAACAGAAGGCGCTGACCACATTTTCTGCAACTTTCCACCACCTTCCTCATATCCACCTTCAGTGACAACAGTGCTGTCAGCAATACCTAGGCACAGACACCTCCCTTACCTCTTTGCAATTTGGTTATCTGCCAGCCTCCCTCCCAGTTTCTCAATAGGAAGTGAAAGTTGACTCCCTGCTACCACACTGGTGCACAGATGCAACAGTTGCTTCCCTTTTCCCACCAGGGCCTTCATCTGGCTTACAGAAAAATAAACTTTCCAAAATGCTGGGAAATGAAAGAGATCAAGAAATTGAAAAGTTCAGAGAGGAAGACCAAAATGTTCATCAAAATTACAGTATCAAAAGGATAAAATAGTGCCCAAAGACTTCAACTACATCTTATCTGAATGAGAGAAAGGCAAGAGGCATGCATTCCTAAAATACTATGAGTTTCAGGATGCATCAGTAAATGATTGCTGGTGGTGAGACACGACATGAGAGAACTACCCCCAAAGCAAAGAAGGATTTTGTACAGGAGCAAACATAAAGTATGGGAAACAATGGAGATGAAGGGGAAGAGATGATGAAAACGTGGGAGGAAAATGCCATAGTGGGGAATGAAAATGTGAAAGTGATATAAAGGGGAAAAGGAGATCAGATTAATGGAGGGGGGGAAAAAAAGGATAAATTATTTAAATTAGAAAAGAGGACAGACAAAAGAGTGGGAAAGAAAAGAACTAAGAAATTAAAGTGAACTAAGAAATTAAAGTTTTAAAAGCAGTAACAAAATAGCAAGCTGGTATTTTTTGAGGGAATGAATACATACAGCACACATTTTGTCCTACGGCCTCAAAAAATGCATGGAGGTGTTGCTCAGTAATTCTCCATTTGTGACAAGTTCATAATTTCTCAGGATTATCCGTGGAAGAAAAAAAAAGAACAGAAAGTTTCCAATATGCACACTACCATCTGTTTAAGGGCTGTATCCACAGCAACTAGAGACCAAGACAAATATCAGTCACCATGTAACCACACTCCCCTGAGAAACTAGCAACGTAAGGTAATTTTTTCAGTTTCTAACAACATATTCAGACACAGTACCACTGAACATTTAAGGGCTAAAATGAGGTACATCAAGTAATGAAGGTGGTGGTTTATGTTCGAATTCTACCACACACTCAACCTATTCCTCAAAGTTATGGGTGTCTGACAACCCAGCACTCACATGCACAGCTCCGTGTTTCAGGCTCCTCCAGACCAGAACACTTCAGCTAGAGAAAGACTGGGAAAGTAAAGCTAAGAGTAGCCAGCAAATAAATTCTGGGGTGGTGTGGTGGTTTTTTGTTGTTGTTGGGGGTTTTTGGTTGCTTTTTTTTTTTTGTAGAAAGCATGCAAAGTTAATTGTGCTTTGGATAAAAGAGCTCAGTGAACAGCAGGGAAAAAAAAGGATAAAATTATTTACATTCCAGTATCTTGGAGGTACAGTAAAAACAGCTTATGAGAAACCTTTTTTCCCCAGTTACTTTCCCTGCTTTTTTTTTTTTTTTTTTACTCTTTTTGTGTTGGCTTGCCTAACTTGTCAGGCTCACATTCTTCAGAATTTCTTGCAAAAAGTTGAAGAATAAGCTTACAACAGAAAGCATTGATTTAAGAAAGGGGCCTCCTTACTGCCAGAACAGAGTTTGCCACATTGTGTGGACAATTGAGCACAGTTAAAACTACCTATGATGTTCTTGTGTTCTCCTGCCATATGCTACCGATATGCAGGGAAATTGCATTGTTTCTTTTCTCAAACGATGAACTGAAGAGTAAAGGAGTAGGAGGAATGCGCACAGCACTTTCTCAAGGGGCAACTAAACACAATTGTTGCACTATGGCATACAGAGGAAAGTTAAAGTTCATTTCCCTCACAAAACAAAAGGAAAGCAGGAGAGACAATATTAATTTGTCTCACCTATGGCACATTACCTGTGGACAGCATATTGGGACTCCAGAAATCTGCACAACATTCTCCTAGAATATAATTCAAAGTCATATTTGATGACTGATATATCCTTCACAGCTTTTATTATTTTCAGTTTCACGGAAAAAAAACCCTCCCTAAGAAACTGAACTGCATTCTTTACCAGCTTCACTCCCACAGGTACAATTATCATCTGAATTCCATCTGTAACATGATCTGCTCAATTCCACTGCCTTCAAATTATGCCTTTCCAAGCCTCTTAAAGGCAAAAGAATTGCTCAAGTACAACAACCCAGAAAACTGTTTTCAATGTTTAAAATATTGAGATTGAAATTAGTCTGCTTTTCATTTTTACCCCTATACCTCAACATTTGTGAATGATGCTTTTCATTATTTAGTCGATGGCCATTAAAAACAGGCTGGACAAAAGCTTTAATGACGCATCTTTTCTGAAAAGCCTCCCTGAAACGTTCACACATTGATCCCACTGCCTCCTGATCACTGGTTTCACAGATTAGCACTATCAGTTAACTAAATGCTACGCTCACGTTAAAGGCCAAACATGAAGGTAACTTGAAAGAGTTTCAGCAACTTGTAAAGGGAAGCATCTCACTGCTGTTCAAACAACGTTCATTTATTTTACTTAAACCCCTCCACCTTTTTAAAGAACTCTATTTGAAGTCAAACATGAAAAGATGTTTTTCCACTTTCATTGTTCATAGCCTAAGAAAAGGAAAAGATGAGAAGAAAATGTTATCAACTCTCCTTTTATCATTTACCATTCTGAGCTTATTTACCACTTTTTGAGATTAAAAATATATTATAAAGACTGTCCTTCTTAACTGGTAATGGCTTCTTCCTCCTATCTGAAGAAACTTGGCCGCACCCTTCACAGCAGCTTGTAGCCCACCAGACACTTTCAATTCATTTTCTATTACAACGGCAACATTCAAGAACTGAGTAATTTCTAGTTCAGCTCTTATGTTAAAACTGATTAACATTCTAATGGGAATAGAGAAAAGGAGATTAGAATCTTCCACCTGAGGAACAACATCAGAAATGGAAATGTTAAGAAATCAAGGAAAACAGAATTATGTTATCAGGGAATGGAAATAAAGATTCATACTCCAGCTGCTAGCCAAAGCTTTATGCCATCACACCTCTGATTCTGGCAACATATTAACGGTAACATAGCTATACCTACTTGCACTACACTACCTCAAACATAACGAGAACTTGTGTATCAGTACAGAGCTGTGTCTCAGGCGGGAAACTCCGCAAGGACTTCAAATTGCTAGGCTGTAATTAAATTATGAGCAATACATAGTCACATAGAGCAATGCAAGGCCTATGTTGTCTGCTAGGTTGGATAGAGTAGTAACACATCTAAGATACTAGAAAAAGTGACTTGAGACACCATGTGCATTGTTTGACTGCCCTACAATGCAAGTATGTGAACATCTTAATTTGCTGGTTTGACTAAACCAGAGAAGGGCTCTGCTCTTCTATTCTCTAAGGAAATAAGAGCACTTAAACACAGCAAACAGAAAACCCCTGTGGTTGACCTCTGTAAGAAAGTTAGAGAATTTAATTTCTGCACTTTCTTAAAAGAAACAAGCTTTATTCAAAGTACACCTGCAAACAAAGGAGTTATGCAGACAATTTTCAACCTCTCTGAAAAGGATGCTAGCAATACAAATACCCCGAAGAGTCAGAAGCATTTTGACTTACTAACTTTCCACAATGGCTCTTACTAAAGACCACTGAGAGGAAATCACTTTACCTTTCAGCCTCATTTTTGGTGAAAGAATGCCAGAAGTACTGATATCCTTACAGGATTGTCTGACATTCTGCTTACATCTGGTGAAGCAATTTTAACATACAAAGCTATATAAAACACTTAAATGGCTATTAGCAGTACCACAGTGTATGAAAGTGATGGAGAAGAATAAAGAAATACACTTATTTTTAAGAAACAGGAATCACAAAAGATATAGGAATCAAAAATGTATTTTTCCTATAACTTAATATAATCCTTACAGAACGTGTATCAATACCTGCTGCTGCCTTTGCCGCCTCATTTGGGCAACCTGAGACATCATGATTTGACGATCCAGTAACTCCATTCTCTGCTGCCTCTGGATGTCAACTGTTGCTCCCATTCCCACTCGAACTTCATTCGTTGGTTCCGCAGATGAGAAGATTGGTTCAAGAGTCCAAGAAAATATCTTTGCTACCCAGCTGGGCACACAAAGAATTCTATGAACTTTTAATATACTGCTATTGTAGCAAATCCCAGAAACCTAAAAACAAAAATGAAATGTTAAAAAAACCAAAAATGAAATGGTAAAAAAACCCCCACAACCCAAAAAACTTATATACACCAAATTTACTTTGTATTAGGCTGCAGATAGCAGTTGGTCTTTCTGTTTTTTAAAGCACTTTTTATTGTATTTACCCAGAGTTCTCAGTCAAGAATCAGAGAAAGAATAGGGGATTTCTTTACCTGCAACTTCCCCGTAACTACAGACTATTCTTTAAATCTGTGTACTGCATTGGCTGTGACTCAGAAAGCTGCTTGGGTTTTTTGTTTGTTTCAGAATTTGAACCCAAGCCAAGCGACCATTTCTCAAACAGGTCAAAATTAAAGCAAAATTTTAATTTTTAGTAGAGAAACTGCATGCTGATCTGAGAAGTTTAAGGCTACCCTCAATGCTGAAGCATTGTAAACACTCCCTAAAAAAACACAACCCTTCAGACTTTTGTCGTTGTCGTCCCTGTCCCCCCCCCCCCCCCCCACCCCCACTCGCCCCTGCCCCCCCCCCCCGCCCCAAGTCTCTTCTTCTGGTAAAAACAAAGGCAAAACAGCTGATTTGAAGTTAAATCTAAGTGTATGCACAGACTTATTCCACAAGGATTCCATCTGCTTTCTATGATTAAAAAACAAAAGGTTCAAAAACCAATTTATCAAAAACTGCGATACTGAAAAAGCCAAACTTTGTGACACTCTTCTCCCACCTATAAGAAAAAACCCCATTCCCTGCATTCACACTTGTGCTTGCCTTGTGGCTTGATTTCATTTCAGATTCAGGAGGAGTGACTGAATTCCATGTGTCCCATAAATGATCTACATTCATCACTCAAACATCATTTTAAATCCCATTACAAAGCTCTAGCACTTGAACCCAAAGTGGTCCAGCAGGAAGGCCAAAGTTCTTGCACAAGCTCTGCATTCTGCTTTATGCCACATTTCAGTATTGGTGACTATTTATTGTCTGTTATGCCACAAGAATTATGCTATGACAACAGCGTGAAATGAACAGGAAGAGATATGAGCCCCAAAAAATCCATAAATATATTCAAACAAGGCAATGATGCTAGAAGCAATGTAGAAACTTGACATTTGGGCTATTTATTTGGGATACTTTTTTTATGTCAGTGACCTTTGTATAAACATACCAAATGCATTGCTGCGTATACAAAGGGAAATAGCATAGAAAAACGCAACATTCTTTGGGAGGGGGATATTTTTCAGATTATTTACAAGGTTATTGTTAATTATCTAAATAAGACTAATCTAATCGAAGACTTTCAGCAAAAATACATTCTGCTTTGGAACACACTGATTTTCATCTTATTCTACTTTCATTTTATAACTGCTCTCAGGGTTGGATGTAACACTAAACACACGATACCATTCTAAAATGAGAAAGAACAGTTTTAAACTACACTTAACCCTTTCAATCTTTTCGTGCTATGAGGAAGGAGGCAAATGGGATGGGATAAGATGAAGGCCATAATCTCTGGCATCATAGTGAAGGTTGCCTTTAACAAAAATTTTACGTATTCAAAGAAAGGTCCTGACCGGACTCTAGGAATGACAGGGCACTGGAACGGAAGCTTCTTCATGACCTCAGCTTTAGTGAAACTGTTTCAGATGACTGTAAGCCCACGACCAAAACTTGTGCACATCAACTGGAAACTGAGAACTATAATCACCAAAGAATGAGTGCAGGAAAATTCGTATCACTTCTGCTTCATCTGCTTTTGGTATGTAGCACTTGAGGCATCTACCTAGCAAGAAGGTCGCTCAGAAGTTAACCACCTGGTCCCAAGAAAGTTATGTAGATACACTCCCCACTCGAGAAAACCTAGATTGGAGGGCTACCAGGAAGGTCACTTTTTTGTTAGCAAGAATTACTGAACCAGGCTGCAAATATTACATATACATTTAATCTGATGATTTCTTAGATGCAAAATGCACAAGCAGCACCTACAAGTGCAAGCACAAGGACCTACAAATTATCTTCCTTCCTCCCCTTCCTGTATTGTTAGGCTACAGAGCCAGGCACCCTCTTTGATCCCAGGGATTTTGCGTTCCTGGTTGCACAGGTGTAAACCAGTCAAGGAAAGAGCACTCCAGCTCAAAATACTTTGTCCACCAGCGTTCCCTCACTTCTTCTAAATGTCCCTCCCGCCTACTGATCTCTGCACACTCTTATGACCTACAGTCTTTTGTTAAGGTCTAATGTTTTCAGGGCATCCTAAACCTTGAACAGGTTCAAGAAGTCACAAGGACAAAACAAAGCAAGTGGTGATGATAGGAAAATCTACACCTCCCTGAATGTATGACAAATCTTGACACATGTCTGAACACATTAACCACAAACAGAGTCATTCTCTTATCAACTCATGACAGAAAATACAGCAAAGAGATAGCAGCAGCGTGTTTTTAGTGTCAGTACTTCAGGTCTTGTTTGCCTCAGAAGGGAAAGTGTACTGCAAACACCAACTAGTAATGCATCAGTAAAAGCATTCTCATCCTTCTATGTAGAGACCGCTAGTCATAGAATCATTGTAGTTCATCTTTGAATCAGAGGATCATTAAGGTTGGAAAAGACCCTTAAGATCATCAATTCCAACCATTAACCTAACACTACTACCAAGTCTACCACTAAACCATGTCCCTAAGTGCCACATCTACACGTCTTTTAAATACCTCCAGGGATGGTGACTCAACCACTTCCCTGGGCAGCCTGTTCCAGTGCTTGACAACCCTTTTCGTGAAGAAATTTTTCCTAATATCCAATCTAAATCTCCCCTGGTGCAACTTGAGGCCCTTTCCTCTTGTCCTCTCTCTCCTTACTTGGTAAAAGAGACTGACACCCACCCACCTCATTACAGCTTCCTTTCAGGTAATTGTAGAGTCATTCCAGACAGAAGATAAAGGCTTTATAAGGCTAAAAGTTTATGGACACTGCTAAAATGGAGAATGGCACTTCGCACTGTGTATGAGACTCAAACACGTGACTCCCACCTGCCTTCCTAGCTTTACTGAGCTCACTGGAGTAGCATGCCTGGTCTATAGCCAACGCACCCGTTGCAGTGGGCTGTCTTCTCTCTCCTTGCTGCTCTTCAACAGCAGACTAGTGTCTTGCCCCCTCCTTGTCCTGCCTTAGACAGAAACTCACTGCGTAACCCAAACATGTGGACTTCTGTGCTCACAGAGCAGGAAGCTGAGAAGACTCACAATATTAAGTTCATAGTAAAATCTAAAATAAAAAACACCTAGTGAAAGAACAAGACAAAACTGTGTGGGGCTAGCAGAAGATAAGTGTATATTCTATATATAGTTGCCATGAAACTTACTGTGGACCAGTAATTGTTCAGAGCAATCGTGTCAGACTGCAGTTCTTCACAAGGATAAGCAGATGGAAGGACAGACTCAGCGGTGAAGAGCACTAAGGGTACACTGGCATTCCACCTTGCTACCTCCACATCTGTTGGGATCTCAGTGCCACTCTCCTTCCTCTCTCCCTTGATTTACTACTCCAACTATAAAACTATTAGATGAAATTATAAGAAACTTTAAATGGTGTGCTCAGTTTTAACAAATTTTCAAGAAGTTTCATCTAGTAAGGAAGAGATACCTATTTGCATATTTCCAATAAAGCCAGAATGGAGACATTTGTAGTTAAAATAAGTCTCGTGATTCAGTCTGGTTTAGTGTCATACACTCATCTTAATGTCAAGTATTTCCAAAGAACTTCCTCTTCAGCTCATTCATATGCATAACTTGATATATATAATAAAAAAAAAAAAACAAGCTTTGACAAAGTATAAACTAACTTTTTACACCACTTCTGTTACAGACATGTAGTGAATTTCTAGTGTTTAAGAAAGTAAACCAACTTTATTTATTCAAGGAAGATAAGATGAGCTCATTACACCCTAAGTTCAGCACTGTACTGATTAAAAGGGTACTTCCCACAAACAGATGAGCCTCCAGAGTATTTTAGGCTCTAAAAACTCACTAAGGAAAGACATTGCCGTTAAGTTCACATTGTTAGAATAGAGAATTTTTTGGCTGGCAACATAAAATGCATCTTAGCTGTTTTCTGTTAGTCACACCATCATAACCTACAACCTCATCCACCATATTGTATGAGGTAAAATGCTAAGCAGAGGAAATGGGAGTATGCTGGAAATTGTCTGCTACGCTGCAGAAAAAAAGCATGTTTATATTTTTTCAGTTTCTTAACATCATGGCTTACTACTCGTCCTTCAAATGAAGTTTCCTAACCTCTTCCCACCCCTGTAGAAAGCCCAACTTCCCCTCCCCTTCCCTCATGTTCCTCCAAAGTTATACACTTTTTAGAAAAAGGAAGTAGCTGTAGTTTCTCTTTTACATTAGGTAAACCAAACATGGAAGCTTTCCAATATTTTACATGACAAAGACACATATGCTCCACTACTAATGGAGATATTTAAAATCACTGTACTTGATTAACATTAAAAAAGGAAAGCAAATGGAAAAAACAGTACGCTGACTGGTGTAGAAAATTGTTTTGCCTAATGGTGAGAACTTGACAGCAAATATTCAATTATTTTGTTCTGAATAATTTAAACATATTCATCATGTATATTCAAGACTTTGCTATTTTCAGATATCAACAAATCGGAAGCAAATAGCAGTATTCTTAAAATGCAGTGACATTTTCATACCTATCTTATCTGCTTTAACCTTAGTATGTTCTATACAACTCAAATCAAAACGAGATTTTGACTGAAGTTTGTGTTGAGATTCTGCATTTACCTTGATTAGATAAACACATTTAACAAACCAAGAAAGATCATGTGAAAACCACCCAACAAATAAAATCACTACACATGTATTTTCAATTTGTAGTTGTAACCTGGAATTTAACTGCAAAACAACAGATTACTTTGTTTGGGTTTTCTTTGCAGAAATAGTTACTAAGAGTATAAACTGCCTTTTGCAATAGTTAGCCTAACAGAAAAA